CCCCCCCCCCCCACCCACACACACACACAGACACACATATGACCCACACTCTGTAACGAGATTGTAAAACATTGCCAACCTTTTCTCTAAAACTCTTTCAATGAAAGGCAAATGAAATGATTTGAATTTCTTATTCCATTATAAATGTATCTCTGCTGCACTGTAAGAGTCTATAGAGGTGTGGCATTATGGCCTACTTGTTGAACAAGGAGTGACTTCAGTTCAACTAGATATCTAGAATCTAGGTTTTTAAGTTGGCCTACCTGAAAGTTGTTCTTTGAATTAATTAAAGGTAAATTAAAGAAAATTTAACTTGAAAGGGTAAACTTGTCGGCTAGGATATAAGTCTCACAGCAGCACCTGCACAAGGTTTTAAAACGTAGGCTTGTTGTTGTTCATGATAGAAACTTCAGCTGTAGTTTAAAAAGTCATGGGAATAGAAAAGTGTGTTAGTAAACTGCAATAGCAGTAAACTGCTGAGTTGGCCTAATTTTTGAAAAATAGGCCTTGTAGTATAACTACACTTCTACACACATTTTTGTCTTGTGTGAGTTTGACTGTCAGATAACATATATTTTGTCTCCTGGTATTTTAGTCTAGTCTGGGGTTTTTTCACTTCATGAAGGTGCCCATGGGTTGTTAATGATAAAAAGCGTGGCGGGATATATATATTAAAAAATTTAACTGATTTTGGAAAACGCCTAAAAAGCTATAATTAAATAACTGTATCTATGTCTTCCTGTGTGACTAAAGGAATAAAAAATGAACAGAGAGGGTTAGAAACTGTCCCTGTGGTTTTATACACCCCGCATAATTTAGCAAAATTTGATCAATTTTTGCATAATTTTCCTTTATCATTCTTTGTTAAAATTAACAGAATCGCATAATTTCACATTGTTGGGCTCAGTTTCATAATTTCAGAATTTTTCTTGCATAAAACGACGGGGACAGTAGAAAGCCTTAACATGGATGAAACTATTAAAATAAAATTCTTACTTAAATTTTTATTAAAATTTTTTTTTTATATAGCTACATGATATGAACAGAGAAGCTTAGTGTACAGGTCAGATGTTTACATTGGAAGATGGAATTTAGCAAAATGTCCAAAAATTATTTAAATGTTGCTAAAAAGTGATTATCTTACAAAAGAAGGTTTTGAGAAAGAGGGAAGGGAGATAAATAATATAAGATACATTTTCAGGGGTTGATGTTCAAAATTCCACGGATCGATTGAGAGGTTTCGTTCATTTCTTGTGTCATGATATGGGCGGTGGAATCAGACACTCGTCAATCTTTGGGGTAAGGAGTTACACTGGTATTATAATTTAATCATTAGCCTTGCTTGATATAAAAAAAAATCCATCTAATAAAAGTTGAGATTTATTTTAATTTTTGTAACTAAAGGAGGAAGAATGGGGTTGCCAGGTGTCAGAGGTAAAATTAGTAGCAGCTCGAGAAAATGGCTGCCAAAATCTGCGACTTTCAAAGTTGTAGCGTCCTTGAAGACTTTAAATATTTACATTTTTAATGAATATGCCTTTTATGAATATTTTTCAGTAAAATCCATGCAGGAATGCATTTTTTTATGGATTAAAGTTAAAGATGATGAGCCAAAAATTAAAAAACAAACAAACAATATTTTACAACTGTTCAAAGAATGGAAAGTTATTGGTTTCTTCGATTTTACTAACTTGACGAGCGCGAGGTTTCACCACAATACTCAACAATTGAGCTTCTGTTGTTACTGGCATGGACCGGGTCGAAATGGGGAACGGTTATAATTTGAATGACACTTAATAAAATCAAAGGGACATGGGTGTGTCATTAAATGTTTTTAAAAAAAAGTGTATTATGACGCTCGCAACTGCATTAGGTCATATGAGTGCGTGACACATTTAAATATTTTCAGTTGATAGTAAATTTTAGAATTTTGCGCGGGTGGCAACTGAAGGCTACTCTTATCGATTTTGGACCACTAAGGGATTTTTATCGTGCACAACTATAGGGGGCGATATTAAGTAAAATGGACACAACATGAGTATTTAAACTGGTTACAGAAGTTACAGTATTATAACTGGAAAAAGAAGTATCTAGAGTTGAGCCTGCATTTATCTTGGGGAAAAAAAAAATTGAATGTTGTTATTGATTTTGGTGACAAGTATCAATTTTTTAACAGTTCAGACAGCTTTGTAGACGGCAGGGGGTGAAAAGTTTGGGAAATGCTCTTTTTTATAGTCAAAATATCTGATCCCAGTAGGCCTGCAGCCAGCAGTATATTTTGTAATCATTGGTTTTGTGTGGACAATAGAAAAAGGACATGCAAGAATTCATTGGTAGTGTCAGGGGCATGCCTTTTCTTTATTTATGAAAAAGTTATGATATCACATGAGTTTTAGTGAGAGTTTTACGGCACTTGCAACACAAAAAGGTCATATAAGTGCTGATCACATGTATTTATGTTTTCGTCAGCCCACAATATTATATATATATAATAATACACAAATAGAAACAGTTGTTCTTTGCTCCAATTTAACTTTATAACTTTTAGAAAGGTCTCTTTTGACTTTGTTTACTTTGTGTAGATGAGAACGTTTTATGTCGCTCATAATATCATCATGTAAAACAATCAAAATTTCCTGTCTTTTTGTTCACTTTTTCTTTCTTTGTTTTTTTTTTTTTTGGGGGGGGGGAGATCTCGAATCAAATTGAATGATGACTGACTATACTGATGTTGGCTACTCTGTGATGGGGTGGTCCAAGAATTTTTTTCCTTTTTTTCTATAATTTAAATTGTGAAAAGTTTGCCCTCCCATGTCCTTGCTTATAATTTTCTTTGTTCTGTTGTATCATACAGCTGGGTGGCCGTGAAAGACACACTCAAAGTACACACACACACACACACACAATACACACACACACACACACACGCACACACACACACACGCACACACACGCACACACACACACACACACACACACGTTATTATGTCGTTATAAACCTTCCTCTACCCACCCCACCACACAAA